TCTGGGAGTGCAGAGCTGCTGGGGGCGGGGGTGAGTCTGCCCAGCTCAGCCAGAGTCGGGGAGACCTTGGGGCTGGCAGCAGGGACTTGGGGGTGCCTGCCTCGGTGCACAGTGCAGAGTGCCCCAGAGAAGGGGGCTCCGGCCCCCGTGGCCTTGTGGTGGTGAGAGCAAGCGGGGTTCCCCCTGGCACCAGCGCCCTCAGGGAGTGCGGCCTATGACGTCCTCGACACCAGCCCAGCTCTCCTTGGTCGGGAGTCCCCTTGTCCCCTCCCTCCTGTGTGGTTCTGGGGGCGCAGAGGCCCCTGGACGGTCACCTGGGCCGAGGCAGAGTCTGCCCTCACCCTGGCCACGCCCCCTCTCCTGTCCCATGTCCCGGCCACGCGTGCCACGTTGCCCTGCAGTCTTGGGGGGCTCGGCTGTTCCCGTTCCTGCCGTCGGGGACTCCGGGGAACATTCAGAGCCATGAAGTGCCAGGTACAGGCTTCGCACCTGCTGGGCCCCAGCCCTGCTGTGAGTGCCCGCGGCGCCCGGGTGCCGTGATGCTGGCCCGCTCCGAGGGGCAGCAGAGCCTGGCCGGTCCTCGGTGAGGTGCTCCTCTCTCTGGGCACTCACACGAGGTCCCCTCCTGTCCGGGAGGTGTCCACACACAGGCCAAGGGAGGGATCGAGACCAGGCCTCTGCGGACACCTGTGGCAGCACCTGTGGAGGCCCTCGTCCCGGCCTCCAGCAGCCTCGCGCCGCAGGTTCTGTGCAGTCCAGGGGCTAAGGGAAGAGCAACAGGAGGCGCCCCCAGAGGCCGGGTGGGAGACTTGGCACCGATGGCAGAGGTTCCTGGACTGGTGCTGGTCAGTGTTGAGTGCAGCCTGGCGGGCGTTTTAGGGGGTCCACAGGGTTGCCCTGGGAGGCGTTGGGCTGAGACCTGGGGTCACGGGGGTCCATGGGGTTGCCCTGGGAGGTGTCGTGCCGAGACGTGAGGTCACATGGGTCCATGGGGTTGCCCTGGGAGGCGTTGTGCCGAGACGTGGGGTCACGGGGGTCCATGGGGTTGCCCTGGGAGGCGTCGTGCCGAGACGTGGGGTCACGGGGGTCCATGGGGTTGCCCTGGGAGGCGTCGTGCCGAGATGTGGGGTCACGGGGGTCCATGGGGTTGCCCTGGGAGGCGTCGGCCTGAGATGTGGGGTCCATTTTGGGGTCTGAACTCCCCTCTGGTTTGGTGGTTTCCCATCAGCAGCTGAGGCCTTGGGGTCTGAGGAGACTCCCGGAGCCCTGGCACCGCTGGGGACTGGGCTGTCAGCCTGGGTCAGACCCCTGGCGTCCCAGAGGGCCCTGGTCGGGGGAGGCAGAGGGTCAGGCGCCTTCCCTCCTGGGTCCCGCATTGCACAGGCGAGGCCGGCCGCCGGGGCAGCTCCTCCACGCAGACTCACCCCTTCCTGCCCCGTCCCACCCGGGCGTCTCGCTGTTCTCAGACGGTGCCGAGCCTCACGCACGCTGGGTGCCAGCGTGCGTCCCACTCCACCTCGCGTCCTCGCGTCCGTCTGTGCTGCTGTGGCCAGGCCGGCGGCGCGTTGCAGCCACGCGGCAGGTGGAGCCAGCTGGCGGCCGCCCTCCCTGTCCTCCAGGAGCTCACGTCGGCCTGCCTGTGAGCGCCTCGACGACAGAGCCGGCGTCCGCACAGCGTCCGCGCGTCCACGGCGGCCTTCTGCTGCTGGGTGTCCAGCAAGACGGGCTTTCCGTTTGTGTGCGAGTGACGCCCTCACAGTGACCAATCAGCTGCTCTGTCGGGAGGGCAGAGGCTGTGACACAGCTGGGAGAACAGGGGCCGCCACGTGCGACACCAGCATCCCAGCTCCCTGCTGTGGCCTGGGAAAGCAGTGGACGATGGCCAAGTCCTTGGGCCCCTGTGCCCATGTGGGAGACTGGAGGAAGCTCCTGGCTCCTGGCTTCGGCCTGGCCCAGCTCTGGTTGTTGTGGTCATCTGGGGAGTGAACCGGCGAATGGAAGACCTCACTCTCTGTCCCTGTCTCTCTGTCTCTGCCCTGTCTCTCTGTCCCTGTCTCTCTGTCCCTGTCTCCCCCCCATTTTGCCCTTCATGTAAATACCCGTGAGTAAAAAGAAATTAACCTTCCTGCCCCCCGAACAAAAACTTCATCATTACAGAAGAACCTGGCAGGGTCCGTGGTCGTCACCCTGCGGTCCCTTCCGTGGTGGACCCGTGGCCTCCGGTGCAGCCCCGCTGGGGCCCGGCGGGCGACCCGGGCAGAGGCTCCTGGACTCGGCTTCCTGCTTCTCAGGTCAGCCGTGCCCAAGCCACAAGCTCAAGGCACGGCTGACCCTGGACACAGCCCCGCGCTCTTGCTCCAAACGGTCTCAGAATCAGCTGAGGGCCGCTTGGTGCCCTTGGAATGTCAGGGGCCTGGCTGGGGGGTGGGGGCGTGGGGACAAGCCTCCCACTTCTCTTCCCTGTGCCAGGTGAGGGCGGGGTCACAGCAACGGCTCTGGACGACCTCCGGCCACTCGCAGACCAAGCAGCACTGTTCTTGGTGGTGCTGGGTGGGTGGTGGGTTGGGGGTGATTGATTACTCTGTGCCTAGAGCTCAAGAGTGCATGGAGGGTCGGGGGCTTCCTCCCCAGGAGGAAACACTGGAACCAGCACACATCATCGATGGCCCGCCCGGGACCCTGGCACGATCCTGCTGCCTGTGGAGAGAGAGGGGCCAGCACGCATCGTCAACGGCCCCCCGGGGACCCCCGCACGATCCTGCTTGCCCCCCCAGCCTGGCCCAGGTCACTTCTGCTGCTGTTTGCTCTTGGAGCCTCAGCTCCAGTCCACAGTAGGACCACGCTGCCTGCAGCTGCTGAGTGGACAGACGGGCGTCCTCGTCCCCCACCCGGGCCCACAGCAGCTGGCCCTCCATAGCTTCATCTCAGTGATGGAGCCATCTGCACGGGGCTGGACGTCTGTGAAAGCCCCAGTCGTGTCCTTGGAGCTCCCCGCAGGCTGTCTGTGCCTTCCTGACCCCAGCCTGTTTGAAGACCCAAATCCATCAGGGCCTGGAAGCCGGGGCACTGGGACACAGGCGTGCGTGTGCACCTGCTGAGCAGGGAGCGTGGGCCCTTGGCTCTGAGTGCGTGGGCGTGCCTGCCCCCTGGCACCCCTTCCTGTGTCTGGCCTGCTCTGGTCCACGCTGATTTCCAAGGAAGACAGCCGATGGCCCGTGGTGCTCGGTGGGCTCCTGCGCAGTGCCGTGCCCGCCCCATACTTCCTGCAGGCCTCGCTCGCAGTGGCTGGCACTGGCTGCGACGTGAACCCAGAGCCCAGGCCACGGCAAGGGGTGCACGTGTGCACAGATGCGGGGAGCCGGTGCCGGGGTCTGGGGGTCCACATCCTGCTGCCATGTTTTGCAAAGTACATCGGAGCATTCCTGCTCTGCCACGGGGGTGAAGCTCAGGGGGCGGCCCAGGTGCGCACTGGACCCGTGGTCCCCAGTGTGGCCCTCCTCTCCCCTCCCTCCAAGTCCCTGCTCACCAGTCTGGCCACAGAGACCTCTGGCTGGAGGCTCCGACCTGGTACCAGGCCCAAGTCGGCCTTAGCACGGCCGCAGAGGCTGCTGGGGTGGAGACCGCTGTCCTTGTGGGGCCTGGTCAGACCCTGGGGCTGGGGTCTGCGTGGCTGTTGACGAGCCCTGGGCGGCCCTTGGATGAAGTCCCTCTGGGAGGAACATGGCAGTGGCACCTGTGTGAGAGCTGGTGGTTACTCCACAGGGGGTTGGCCCAGGACCCCCGCAGGAGGAGCTGTGGTGGCCCCCCAGGGGGCAGAGGAGGGCAGGGGTCTCGTGTGGCTTCCCCAGGCTCCAGGCTGCTTCCCGCCAGGGTGCGGCCTGGTCCTCATGGAGCCAACTCCCCTACGGTCGCGCTCCATGGGCAGCAGCGGGGACAGCAGTGGGGACAGCAGCAGTCCAGGCTGGGAACCTGGGGGCCCTGGGCTGGGGCCTGCTGGGCTGCTCTGGCAAAGCCAAGGTCAGGAGGCAGAGTTTGTTTTAGCTGAGACTGTCCTGGGTTCACGTGGTCACTGGCCAGTGTCCAGTCCACCAAGGGCAGGGTGGGGGCTGGAGGGTCAGAGGTGAGGCCCTGTGTGGGGGCCGACAGGGGCCGTGTCCTGGCAGCCCCCTTTGTGGGGGGGTCGATGCTCCCTCCCTCCTCTCCCTGACCAGCTGGGCTTTGGGCCCCATGGCGCGGCCTGGGGACGGGGGCAGGGTGTTTGCTTTCCTTCCACGGTGCCCACCCAGTCGGCCACCGCAGTGGGCAGGAGGAGTCGAAGGCAGGTGAAGGCAGAGTCCCCCAGGGGCGTCCCGTCCTGGTCATCGGGCCCCCCTGCTCCCGCCCCAGCAGCCCCCTTGGAACGCAGGCCGCCCCGTGGGCCTGGCTGTGGCTGGCACCCTCCCAGCACCCTCTGCTTCCTGTCTGCTGCAGCCACGCGCGTGGCCTGTGCACAGGAGGGCAGAGCCTTCAGGCCCCCTCCCCCGGGCTGCCCTGGACCCCAGCCTGGGCGCCCGCCCCCCGAGTTCAGGGCCCAGAGCTGCCCCTTTATAGAGGGGTGGGGTGTGGAGTGTAGCCCCTGTGTTCTGGAGGGGTCAGGACGGGGCAGGTGCTGGGGGGCCCCGGGAGAGGAAGTCCTTGTCCTGTCTCTGGGGGTTCCTGGCCTGGATCAGAGCTGGAGCCGCTTCATAGGGGCCCAGCGCCCCTGGCTTTGCTGCCTGTGGGGTGGGGCCTGTGCCTTCTTGGCAGGAGGGGCTGAAGGGCTGCTCAGAGGCAGGAGCCCCCACCACGGCTTTCCCCCGGGGGGGGGGGGGTCTTCACCCAGCGGACGCAGCCCCCGGGACAGCGAGTGTGACCTCCAGAAAGGAGGAGCAGGCGCCCCCGGCGCAGCAGGGGGTCCCCAGCGGGGGGGGGGGGGCTGCGCCTGGGCGCCACCCCCCGTGACAGGCGGGCTCCTCTCCCAGGCTGCGGACGCCACCCTGTCCCCGGAGGAGCAGAGGGTGCTGCAGAGGAAGCTGAAGAAGGCGCGGAAGCAGCAGCTGCGGGCCGCTGGGCGCACGGCCCAGGACGCGGGGGCCAGGCCCTCGGGGGCGCAGCTGGCCCTGGACTACCTCTGTGGGTAAGCGCCCGCCCCGCCTCCCCTGCCGAGGGCGCAGGGTGCCGCAGTGGGCCCCCGGGAGGCCGGGACTGAGAGCTGGGAAGGCTGCAGCTCGGCCCCTGCTGAGGCCACCCTCCCCGTGGACGTGCCGGCGGCGCCCAGCCATGCGCTCCGGCTTCCACACGGCACACACCTGCTTAACGTGGGCGTTCGGCAGGATGCCCGCGGCTCATGTCAGAGTGCCGGGGTTTGATCTGGCTCCACGCCTGACCAGCTCCCAGCGTCCTGCTGATGCACGGACGTGGGCCCCTGCCGCTCCGCGGAGACCCCACGGCGCTCCTGGCCCAGCCCAGGCTGCTGTGGGCATTCGGGGAGTGAGCCAGCGGCTGGGGCCGCTTCGTCTGCCTCAAGTCAGAGGAGCACGCAGCTCCGGGGCTTCCACCGTCATCACCGTCAGTTCTAGAACAGTCCGGCATTTCAGAAAGCAGCTGGCGCCTGGGACCCCGGCCCCTGGCCGCTGCTGGCCACTGTTGCATTGTCGCCTGGCGGAGCCCAGCAGACGGAGTCGCGCTGCGCGGCCTCCTGTGCTCCTGTCAGTCGGCACTGTGTTCCGTGTTGTCGAAGGCCACACGCGTAGGAGCTGGGCTGTTTTTACACATACACGTGTACATGTATACACAGGCACACAGATGTGTGTCCACATGTATATGTCCACACATGCATGTTCACATATATACACAAACATACACTCATGCATGCATATGCTCATGTATGCATGCACACGTGTGTGTTCACACAGGTGTGTACATGTATATGTCCACACACAGGCTCACATATATACATAAACGTACACACATGTATACAAGTGCATATGCTCACGTGCACACATATGCACACACGTGTATACACGGACGTGCACACAGGCGTGTATACACATGTGTATGTCCACACACTGTCCTGTGACCTCCCTAGCAGCCAGCCCGAGCCCCTGCCCTGCTCCCGCCTCTCAGGCTGTGTGGGACCTCGGGTGCTGGTCAGGTCACACCCGGACCTGGCGGCTGCATTCTGTCCTAAACACAGCTCAGGGCCCCCAGGCAGGAGGGGTGCCCCCCTCAGGGCTCACTCTGCCCCTTTGTACCCTCCTGGCCATGCCGTCCACACCCTCCCCTGAGCTGCTGCTGATGGCCTGGGCCTCTCGCTGGGGGAGGAGGGGTCCACGAGTCCATGAGGTTCAGCATGTGCCCCCAGGGCCACGGAAGTCAGAACTGTGGAGCTGGAAGAAGATGGCTCCGGCTCGGTCTCTCCGTTCCCAGATATACACACCCTGGAGCGGGGGTGTCCCAAAGCCCCCAGGTGTCAGCGCCTGCCTGGGCGCCCTGACCGTCCCCCCCGCCATGTTGCCAGATATACACACCCTGGAGCGGGGGGGTCCCGAAGCCCCCTGGTGTCAGCGCCTGCCTGGGCGCCCTGACCGTCCCCCCCCCCGTGTTCCCAGTTACACACACCCCAGAGCAGGGGTGCCCCGAAGCCCCCTGGTGTCAGTGCCTGCCTGGGCGCCCTGACCGTCCCCCCCCCCGTATTCCCAGATATACACACCCCAGAGCGGGGGTGCCCCGAAGCCCCCTGGTGTCAGTGTCTGCCTGGGTGCCCTGACCGTCCCCCCCACCCCCCGTGTTCCCAGATGGGCCCAGAAGAACGCGAGCTGGAGGTTCCAGAAGACGAGGCAGACGTGGCTCCTGCTGCACATGTTCGAGGAGGACAAGGTGCGTGAGGGGGATCCCGGGCAGCGGGGTCTGTGCCCCTCAACCCTGGGGAACCTCTCTGAAGACATGGAGCCGGTGTCTGCCCAGCGGGCTGCCCTGGGGAAGCCGCCTGCCCGTGCACATGTGATGTGTATCTGTATCTGTGTGCGTGCCCCCCCATGCCAGGGCACTGTGGGTGGGGCACTGCCCTGCCCGGTGGGCAGCCTTGAGCCCACCCGGCCCTGGCCCTGACACCGCTATTTCCTGCCGGCCAGGTCCCTGATGAGCACTTCCCCACCCTGCTGGCCTACCTGGAGGGGCTGAGGGGCAGGGCCCGCGAGCTGACTGTGCAGAAGGCCGAAGCCCTGATGCGGGAGCTGGACGCGGACACGGCAGGCGGTCAGGACAGCCCCCTGGACGCCACCCGCCGAGGGAAGACGCAGCGCCTGCGGCAGGTGCTGCAGCTGCTGTCCTAGGTGGGGAGGGCAGGCCCAGGGCTTGGAGCTGTCAAGCCACGCCCCTTCGCCCCGCCCCCCACCCTCTTCAGTGGCTGCCTGAGGGTGAGCCAGGTGCTGGGGTGCTGCGGCGGCAGCTGTCCTGGGCAGAGCTGGGGCGTGGGTGCCCTGCCAGGCCCAGCTGTGCACACGGGCGCAGGGGAGCCCTTGGGACTGTGTTCTTACTTGCAATAAACACTGTGGCCCCATGAGGCCGAGTCCTGCTGCCTGCCCGCGCCCTCGGCTGTGGCTCCCCAGGACGAGGCCCCAGCTCCGTGCGCTGGTGCTGACTGCCCCATTCCCAGCAGGGCACCGGAGCCCGTGGGGGTCAGGGCCCCTGCAGGTGCCAAGTGAAGACGCTGGCCCTCGTGGTGCCTGTCCGGTGAGGTCAGGAGCGGGAGGGCAGCGCGCGACACAGCCTGTGGCCTGTGGGCTGCATCCACCGCCCCATGAGGTGGAGCTGTGGCTCTGCAGAGAAACCACAGACGGCGCTGGCCGGGCAAGGGCAATGGCGCTTCCTGGACGTGAGGCTCCTGACATAACCCACTGAGGAGCAGGTGTGGGTGCAGGGGAGGGGAGGGGAGGGGAGGGGAAGCCCCAGGAGCAGGTTGGTGCAGGGAGGGGAGGCCCCAGGAGCAGGTTGGTGTAGGGAGGGGAGGGGAGGCCCCCAGGAGCAGGTTGGTGCAGGGAGGGGAGGCCCCAGGAGCAGGTTGGTGCAGGGGAGGGGAGGCCCCAGGAGCAGGTTGGTGTAGGGAGGGGAGGGGAGGCCCCAGAGCAGGTTGGTGCAGGGGAGGGGAGGCCCCAGGAGCAGGTTGGTGCAGGGAGGGGAGGGGAGGCCCCAGAGCAGGTTGGTGTAGGGGAGGGGAGGCCCCAGGAGCAGGTTGGTGTAGGGAGGGGAGGGGAGGGGAGGCCCCAGGAGCAGGTTGGTGCAGGGGAGGGGAGGCCCCAGAGCAGGTTGGTGCAGGGAGGGGAGGGGAGGGGAGGCCCCCCAGGAGCAGTTGGTGCAGGGGAGGGGAGGCCCCAGGAGCAGGTTGGTGTAGGGAGGGGAGGGGAGGCCCCAGGAGCAGGTTTGGTGCAGGGGAGGGGGAGGGGAGGCCCCAGAGCAGGTTGGTGCGGGGAGGGGAGGGGAGGGGAGGCCCCCAGGAGCAGGTTGGTGCAGGGGAGGGGAGGCCCCAGGAGCAGGTTGGTGTAGGGAGGGGAGGGGAGGCCCCAGGAGCAGGTTGGTGCAGGGGAGGGGAGGCCCCAGGAGCAGGTTGGTGCAGGGAGGGGAGGGGAGGCCCCAGGAGCAGGTTGGTGTAGGGAGGGGAGGGGAGGCCCCAGGAGCAGGTTGGTGCAGGGGAGGGGAGTCCCCAGGAGCAGGTTGGTGCAGGGGAGGGGGAGGCCCCAGGAGCAGGTTGGTGTAGGGAGGGGAGGGGAGGCCCCAGGAGCAGGTTGGTGCAGGGGAGGGGAGGCCCCAGGAGCAGGTTGGTGCAGGGGAGGGGAGGCCCCAGGAGCAGGTTGGTGTAGGGAGGGGAGGCCCCAGGAGCAGGTTGGTGCAGGGGAGGGGAGGCCCCAGGAGCAGGTTGGTGTAGGGAGGGAGGGGAGGCCCCAGGAGCAGGTTGGTGTAGGGAGGGGGAGGGGAGGCCCCAGGAGCAGGTTGGTGTAGGGAGGGGAGGGGAGGCCCCAGGAGCAGGTTGGTGTAGGGAGGGGAGGGGAGGCCCCAGGAGCAGGTTGGTGCAGGGGAGGGGGAGGCCCCAGGAGCAGGTTGGTGTAGGGAGGGGAGGGGAGGCCCAGGAGCAGGTTGGTGTAGGGAGGGGAGGGGAGGCCCCAGGAGCAGGTTGGTGTAGGGAGGGGAGGGGAGGCCCCAGGAGCAGGTTGGTGCAGGGGAGGGGAGGGGAGCCCCAGGAGCAGGTTGGTGTAGGGAGGGGAGGGGAGGCCCAGGAGCAGGTTGGTGTAGGGAGGGGAGGGGAGGCCCCAGGAGCAGGTTGGTATAGGGAGGGGAGGGGAGGCCCCAGGAGCAGGTTGGTGTAGGGAGGGGAGGGGAGGCCCCAGAGCAGGTTGGTGTAGGGAGGGGAGGGGAGGCCCCAGGAGCAGGTTGGTGTAGGGAGGGGAGGGGAGGCCCCAGGAGCAGGTTGGTGTAGGGAGGGGAGGGGAGGCCCCAGGAGCAGGTTGGTGTAGGGAGGGGAGGGGAGGGGAGGCCCCAGAGCAGGTTGGTGTAGGGAGGGGAGGGGAGGCCCCAGGAGCAGGTTGGTGTAGGGAGGGGAGGGGAGGCCCCAGGAGCAGGTTGGTGTAGGGAGGGGAGGGGAGGGGAGGCCCCAGAGCAGGTTGGTGTAGGGAGGGGAGGGGAGGCCCAGGAGCAGGTTGGTGTAGGGAGGGGAGGGGAGGCCCCAGAGCAGGTTGGTGTAGGGAGGGGAGGGGAGGGGAGGCCCCCAGGAGCAGGTTGTTGTAGGGAGGGGAGGGGAGGCCCCAGGAGCAGGTTGGTGTAGGGAGGGGAGGGGAGGGGAGGCCCCAGAGCAGGTTGGTGTAGGGAGGGGAGGGGAGGCCCCAGGAGCAGGTTGGTGTAGGGAGGGGAGGGGAGGCCCCAGGAGCAGGTTGGTGTAGGGAGGGGAGGGGAGGCCCCAGGAGCAGGTTGGTATAGGGAGGGGAGGGGAGGCCCCAGGAGCAGGTTGGTGCAGGGGAGGGGAGGGGAGGGGAGGCCCCAGGAGCAGGTTGGTGCAGGGGAGGGAGCCCCCAGGAGCAGTGCAGGGCCCAGGTAGGTTCTGTGGATTCGCCTGGTGAGCCAGGGGCTCTAGTGCTGTTCCCTGGCAGCTAAGTCAAGCGGGTCCTTGCTGGGGTCCCAGGGGCTGCCCTTGGCCCTGCTCTTGGAGACTGAGCGCTCCAACCCCCCCCCACACAAGCTTCCTGGACCCTGGCCTAGGAGGGCCCTTTCCTCCCCAGGAGAGACCCACGCATGCCCTGCAGGAGGTCAGAGCCAAGCTGTCGCGGGGGGTGGGGTGCGGTGTAAGCTGGTCTCTGCTGGGACTGGCCTGGGAAGCTGGTGAACCAGATGCCCCCCCGAGCCCCCAAGCTGGAGCGACCCAGGGTGCCTCAGGGGCAGTGGGTGGACAGAGCAGAGCTGCCAAGGGGAGAAGGCGGGTTGTGAGGGGCGGCTCTGCCCGCGGGCGGCCCACCACCCGCACTAATGAAAACGCGGCAGCAGTTGGCTTCTAAAACCCTTGTTCCCTTCCAGCCCCCGCCCCCCGCGCCATGCTGGGACAGGCCATTCCCGGTGAGGGGCGTTGGCTGACCTGCCCCGCCCCAGAGAAGCCCCCAGCCTTTCTCCGTCAGTCAACAGAGACCTCCTGGCCCCTGCCCCTCCTTGGGGCCTGTGGAAGGTGGCAGTCACGTGGCGCCTCAGTCTGGTCCCGGGGCTGGCAGGGATCCCAGCAGGCGCTAGCGAGGAGACTTCCCTGGGGGGCCAGGTGCCCCCACCGGTGGAACTGCCTGAGCCGGGGACCAGAGCCCCGTTACCCAGCCGCCAACCTTGGGCACGGCGCTGCAGCAGTGGGGGCGCCAGGCCGGCTCCCAGGGGAAGGTGGGTGAGCTGTGGCACCTGGGACCCCTCGCACGGGTGTGGGGGGTGCCTGAGCTCCCTGCCCCCAGGGACAGTCTCAGGGCACCACCCTCCCAAGTCCGCCCCCCTGCGAGGTTTGTCCTTTGTCGTGGCCACCGCAGCCAGTTTCCTTCCACCAGGAGTGGCCACTGCCTCCCAGTGAGGAATTGGGTGTGGGGGCCCCACAGGGTCTGGCAGGGGACTGGGGGTAGCCGGAGGACAGAGGAGAGCAGGGAGGGGAGGGGCCTGGCAGAGTGCAGGCCTGGGGACCAGGAGCCTGGGGCAGGCAGGAGGGGTGCCCCACTGGACATGCTTGGGTGAGGGGACAGGTCTGAGTAAGGGCCAAGGGCCCAGTGGGCACCCAGGGAGACCGCCCACCTGGCGGGGGTGCACCTAAGGCCTGGGCACTGCACGCAGGGCCTGGGCCCGTGGACGCATGGTGAAAGCCCGGGCTGGCTCCGTGTCCAGGGCGGTGGGGCTGGTGCCGTGCGGGGGCAGCAGGCGGTACCTCTGCAGGAGGCCCGCAAACAGCAGGAACAGCTCGGCCCTGGCCAGGCGCTCGCCAACACAGACTCGGCGGCCTGCGGGAACAGGCGGGCAGGGGCGCTAGGACTGTCGCTGGGGTCAGGGGGCAGAGGGCACCCAGCCTCTGCCCTCTGGGCTCGCGGTACCTGCAGAGAAGGGCAGGAAGGCCGCCCGTTTCACGAAGTGCCCGTCAGCGTCCAGGAAGTGGTTGGGGTTGAACTGGCCCGGGCTCTCCCACTGCGTCTTGTCCAGGAGCACCGAGGTGAGCAGGGGGATCACAGGTGTGCCCTGGGGGACAGAGAGGGGGTCCCGGGGCTGGGCAGGCTCCCCAGGGGGACAGAGAGGGGGTCCCGGGGCTGGGCAGGCTCCCCCCAGGGGGACAGAGGGTCCTGCAGCTGGGCAGGCTCCCCCCAGGGGGACAGAGAGGGGTCTCGGGGCTGGGCAGGCTCCCCAGGGGGACAGAGAGGGGTCCTGGGCTGGGCAGGCTCCCCGCAGGGGGACAGAGAGGGGGTCCCGGGGCTGGGCGGGCTCCCCGCAGGGGGACAGGGGGTCCTGCAGCTGGGCAGGCTCCCCCCAGGGGAACAGAGAGGGGTCCCGGGGCTGGGCGGGCTCCCCGCAGGGGGACAGAGAGGGGTCTCGGGGCTGGGCGGGCTCCCCCCAGGGGGACAGAGAGGGGTCCGGGGCTGGGCAGGCTCCCCCCAGGGGGACAGAGAGGGGTCCCGGGGCTGGGCGGGCTCCCCAGGGGGACAGAGAGGGGGTCCCGGGGCTGGGCAGGCTCCCCCCAGGGGGACAGAGAGGGGTCTCGGGGCTGGGCAGGCTCCCCAAGGGGACAGAGAGGGGTCTCGGGGCTGGGGAGGCTCCCCCCAGGGGGACAGAGAGGGGTCTCGGGGCTGGGCAGGCTCCCCCCAGGGGGACAGAGAGGGGTCCCGGGGCTGGACGGGCTCGCCAGGGGGACAGAGAGGGGGTCCCGGGGCTGGGCGGGCTCCCCGCAGGGGGACAGAGAGGGGTCTCGGGGCTGGGCGGGCTCCCCGCAGGGGGACAGGGGGTCCTGCAGCTGGGCAGGCTCCCCCCAGGGTAACAGAGAGGGGTCCCGGGGCTGGGCAGGCTCCCCCCAGGGGGACAGAGAGGGGTCCCGGGGCTGGGCAGGCTCCCCGCAGGGGGACAGAGAGGGGGTCCCGGGGCTGGGCGGGCTCCCCGCAGGGGGACAGGGGGTCCTGCAGCTGGGCAGGCTCCCCCCAGGGTAACAGAGAGGGGTCCCGGGGCTGGGCAGGCTCCCCCCAGGGGGACAGAGAGGGGTCCGGGGCTGGGCAGGCTCCCCCCAGGGGGACAGAGAGGGGTCCGGGGCTGGGCGGGCTCCCCAGGGGGATAGAGAGGGGGTCCCGGGGCTGGGCAGGCTTCCCCCAGGGGGACAGAGAGGGGTCCGGGGCTGGGCGGGCTCCCCGCAGGGGGACAGAGAGGGGTCCCGGGGCTGGGCAGGCTCCCCCCAGGGGGACAGAGAGGGGTCCTGGGGCTGGGCGGGCTCCCCAGGGGGACAGAGAGAGGGTCCCGG